CCGGTTTTGTGGCACTCTGGTTTTAGCAGGCTTGTCTACTGGATTTGTCAGACACTAGAGGGCGCTCCAGCGCAAGTCCACAATGAATGGGTTACTGTGTAGCTTTTGTGTTTGTAAATGTTTAATCATATTTAAAATCTAAAGATCTTTAAAATTTAAAACAGGACTTTCTAACAGTGCATGATGTACATTTAATGACATGAGTCAGTGCTTTACAATAAGCACTCAGTAGCAGTAATGCTAACCAGTCAGCACTCTGTAGCAGTAATGCTAACCAATCAGCACTCAGTAGCAGTAATGCTAACCAATCAGCACTCAGTAGCAGTAATGCTAACCAGTCAGCACTCAGTAGCAGTAATGCTAACCAGTCAGCACTCAGTAGCAGTAATGCTTAACCAATCAGAACTCAGTAGCAGTAATGCTTAACCAATCAAAACTCAGTAGCAGTAATGCTAACCAATCAGCACTCAGTAGCAGTAATGCTAACCAGTCAGCACTCAGTAGCAGTAATGCTAACCAATCAGCACTCAGTAGCAGTAATGCTAACCAATCAGCACTCAGTAGCAGTAATGCTAACCAGTCAGCACTCAGTAGCAGTAATGCTTAACCAATCAGAACTCAGTAGCAGTAATGCCAACCAATCAACACTCAGTAGCAGTTATGCCAACCAATCAGAACTCAGTAGCAGTAATGCTTAACCAATCAGAACTCAGTAGCAGTAATGCCAACCACTCAACACTCTGTAGCAGTAATGCCAACCAATCAGCACTCTGTAGCAGTAATGCTAACCAGTCAGCACTCTGTAGCAGTAATGCTAACCAGTCAGCACTCGGTAGCAGTAATGCTAACCAGACAGTGCTCAGTAGCAGTAATGCTAACCTGTTAGCGCTCAGTAGCAGTAATGCTAACCTGTTAGCGCTCTGTAGCAGGAATGCTAACCCATCAGGACTCTGTAGCAGGAATGCTAACATCTTACTGCCCAAAACCTTTTTTTGCTGTAGAAAAACAGAAAGATACTGTTAATTTACTTTATTTTCATAATGGAATACATCCTTCTACTTTCCAAAATTAAAGGAAGTTCTTATATAAATGGCTGGAAACATGTTTAATGTTTTGTTTTGAGCCGTTTAGCTCCCATTTTCCCCCTCCTTTCATTGAGGACTCACCTGCTGGCGCTCTCTCTCATGTTTTGCAGTCATGTCTTTGATATAATAGGAGACATAAGAAGTGGCCAGGCTGCTCCTAAACTGGCTCTTGTAAAACCTCTTTAACCCTGCCCCCGTCTCTAGGTTCTGTCACTGGGGCAACCTGCAAGGAGCTGGCGTCCCAGAAAGACGTGGACGGCTTCCTGGTCGGCGGAGCTTCACTGAAGCCCGAGTTCGTCGACATCATCAACGCAAAGGCATAAAAGAAGCTCAGAAACGGAACAACTGAGGCCAACCGCACCCATCTCTCCCAACCATTCTGCTCTTAACTCCAAGCACTTGGATCCCATTCGAACTTTCATTTTTCCAAAGTGGTCTTGTGATGCTGTCGGTGTAATTTTTTTTCATTTTTTGTGTTTTGTTGTTGTCATTGAAAGAGAATGACAGTAAATGGCACTCGGTGAAGGTAGTATCGCCACTGAAGGGAAGTAATGTGTGAGCGGTTTCGTTACTGACCCTCCACACGTTAAACTACTTGCGTTAGAATAACCAGCACAGGGCGCAGAGGCCTCGCCTTTACTTGAACATTGTTTACCGACCCCTTTTTGTGTATACGGTTTCAAATCTAGGACAAAAAGCAGATCACTTGAGTGTCTTTCTCTTATTTTTCCTTAAGTCTGTGCAATTTTCCATTACTGTAGAGTTCTGTGTCTTACCTGTTTAATTTAATACTGTATCAGCCGCTTTCCGGCCACAGGGGCTGGACGTTGTTCATTACATGTCAATCATGGTGTCACGGCCAATGGTAATCAACGGTAAAGACAAGTAGGAACATTGTAATAAATACTGGAGAGTAGAACATGACTGTCCTGGAGCCTTTTGTCCATTTATTGGTCAAATCAAACGGGAGAAAATATGAACGTTAATGATTCCACGTCTCAAACCTTCTGATAGGATTTCTTACACAGTAACAGAAAATACAACACTGCCAAAAGCTGGGAAGCATCAGAAACGCATATTCTTTAACCTGCTTGGTCCGGGGGGGCCGTCTGCACAGTCCACAGCGTTTCCTTTGGACTTGTGGACCCCTTGTGAGACAAACAATTCCAAATTGGCAGGAAGGAGCCATCTTGGCTTTGTTATTTTGCCAAGAAATCCCAGTGTTTGGAATGGATATTAACTCTGAAGACTGAGGAGCTTAAAATCGCATTTAAATTTATGCCACATTCTTAAAGGTGGTTCTTTAGTAAGAGGAATGGTTCTACATGGAACTGGAAGTTCTATGTAGAACCATTTGCCTGGTGAAAGTGTTCTTCAGATTGATGGAGAATGTGTTGGATATAGTTCTATATTGCACCAAAAACGATTCTGCTATTGTTACAAGCTTGAGGAATGCTTTTTGGTGTTATCTAGAACCATGTACCACACATTCTCCATCAATCTGAAGAAGAGTTTCACCTTGCAAAGAACCATTTAAGCATGTAAATGCTTCTGCATAGTACACATGGTACTGGGTAGAATCATTCTCCTTACCAAAGAACCCTTGAAGAACCATCTTTTTTAAGAATGTAGGGGGGAAAACATACTGTGATCTTTGTCATAGCCAGCAGGTCGTGAGTGGTAGTGTAGTATTTACTCTACACTCTTAAAAATAAGATGGTTCTTCAAGGGTTCTTTAGCAAAGAAAATGGTTCTATATAGAACCATGAACACGCAAAGGACCCTGGGCATGATTAAAGGGTTCTCTGCATCATGAAATGGTTCTTCAGATTGATGGAGAATGTGCTGTAGATGGTGCTATATAGGCACCTTTTCAGAAGAACCCGTTTTGGTACTATATAGAAGAGTGTATATCGCCACCCAGTGGTGACTAAACAGTGGTGACTAAACCCCAGTCACAAACTGGGATGGATTTGTTTAAAAAGATCAGAGCACATTATGTACTTAACTCTGTTCAAATACAACTAGATATGAAATATGAATGGATTTAAGATAGAAATCTTAAGATATATGTTCAAAAGGGGATGTAAAGGGGGGATCATTTTAAAGATAAACAGCATGGCTTCCCCTTGCGCGCCCCCCCCCGCCACCCCCCCCACCAATCGAGCCATGCCTGTGTGTGATTGCTGGGAGTCTCTAGAACAGCGGGGCCCATCCCGGTCCTGGAGATCTACCACCCTGAAGAGCTCAGATCCAAAACGCCCGTCTCTAATAATCAGATGCCCCTGAAGGCCTTCACTGACCGAATCCTGGAGACCCACTGCCCTGCACTTTTAGTGTTTTCCCTGCTCCCAACACGCCTGATCCAACTAATCCGCTCATTGAATCTTGAAGAACCTTCTTTTTTAAGAGTGTACTTATGGCAGGGGTCCAGTCATGGAATGCTAAATAAATAAAATTCCTGCAATTTGGTGATTTTCCTGCTCAAGCACACCTGCGTCAGCTCTTCAGTTAACGGCCAGGTTTAGTTGGAAATTCCCAAACCCTGCTGGACTCCAGTTCTTAGTTCTCCATCCCTGACTTATGGGAACATAAGGAGGCCTGTATGGCCTCAGCTCTCCCTCTACTGTTCACATTAATAGATGGTTCTTTAGTAAAGTGAATAGCTCTATATAGAACCATGAACTCTCAAAGATCCCTTTGCATGATTAAATGGTTCTTTGCATCATAAAAGGGTTCTTCCAACTGATGGAGAATGCGCTGTAGGTGGTGCTATACAGAACCAAAAAGGTGCTTCTATCGTTACAATGTCAAGCTTGTAACAATAGAAAAAACCTTTTTGGTGCTGTATAGAACCACATACAACATGTTCTCCATCAATCTGTGGAACCATTTCACCATGCAAACACTTCAAAGGGTTCTTTGAGTGTTCATGGTTCTATATAGAACCACTGTCTGTCTATAGAACCATTGAAATCCCCAAACCACACTAGACTCCAGCCCTCAGTTCTCCATCCCTGACTTATGGGAACATAAGGAGGCCTGTATGGCCTCAGCTCTTCCTCTCCTGCTGACATTAATAGATTTACACTCTTAAAAAAAAGACGGTGCTTTAGTAAAGACAATGGTTCTATACAGGACCATGGACACTCTAATAACTTCTTCCATGATTAAAATATTCCTTGCATCATGAAAGGGTTCTTCCGACTGATTGAGAAGGTGCTGTAGAAACCTTTTTGAAAAGGGTTCTATCTAGCACCAAAATGGTGCTTCCATCATTGCGATGTCAAGCTTCTAACAGTAGAAGAACCTTTTTGGTGCTGTATAGAACCCTTTTCTAAAAGGTTCCTATATAGAACCATCTACAGCACATTCAATCTGAAGGATCCTTAAGCATGCAGATGGTTGAGTGTTCATGGTTCTATATAGAATCATCTACAGCACATTTTCATTTCAATCTGAAGAGCCCTTGCGTGATGCAAAGAACCCTTTAATTGTGCAAGGGGTCCTTTGAGTGTTGATGGTTCTACATCAAACCACTGCCTTAACTAACCAGTTCGATAAGCACTGCTTAGAAGGTCCACCTTAGACTTGTACCCTGACATAATGTAAAGGTTCTTCGCCAATTTAAAACTTCTACAAGTTCTATAAGTTTCAAATTATGTCCATGTTCTTCAAAATCAAGCACCAAAAATGGTTCTCTAAAACAGCGGTTCTCAAGCTGGTCCTTATTTCCTTGCTCAAGCCTCATGTGTTAAAAGTTGGAGCAAAAATATTAATCATCTAATGAGAACCAGTATGAGGAGCACTGCTCTACAGCAGAACCAGTTTGCTGTAAAGAACCTTTTCCGCCTTCACTGAAGAACCCTTGAAGAACCATCTTTTTTGAGTTGACAAAATCCACACACATCCAAGACTTATTCATTCCTATTTATTATATTCTCGAGAGAAGGTTCAGTATGTACAGTTATGAATATACAAAAGTCAGATCACAGATCCTGATGTGAGCTGAAGCTCAGGGCCGACATTAGGATGTTAAGGAGTTTAGAGCTAGAAGAGAAGCCGGAGGGGCAAAGCCGCTGCTGTGGGAATACTTACGACCCGGCACAGACCACAAACACAGCCATCACAACCAGTACATATTCATCATATAAAACACAGAGAAGGAGGAGAGGGAAGGAAGTGAGAGAGAGGATGGAAGGAAGGATGAGGAAGGGAGGACAGAAAGAGGGAAAGAAAAAGTATAGAAAAGAAGAGACAAAGAATGAAAACTAGACCAGGAAACTCAACCAATGACGAGTGAAGGAGTGAGAGGAAAAGGGGTCCAATTAAAGAACTAAAAAACTGGTACTAAAGAAACGAAGAGAAAGCGGTCAGAAAAAGCAGGAGAGGAAAAACAGCACAAGCCACATTTACAGAGAGGGATGGGGGGCAATTAGAAGTACTCAAAACGAGCTGTACAATCAGTTACTGGCAAATATGACTGGAAATATTAAACATACATTCTCAAGGGAGGAAAAAAAAACAATTCGATTAGGGAGGAGGGCAACTGTTAATGGGAGCAATTTAAACCAAGGAAATATTACATTCATCTGGAAATCAGTAAAAGCTGGAATAATTTAGGATATTGGTATGTTCAGATGTGTCTCGTGCCCTAAACGAGCTGCAGAGAGAGAGAAAAGCTATAGACTCTATAATGCTCGCACGACCAATGTCCAGTCGAGCATTACACAGTCGTGAGGACAAGAGGGAACCACACATCTAAACATACCAATCTGTCCAGAAACCTTAACATCAACATTCATGTTTACATTTCACACTGAAGAATCTCAACCTTATCTGAAGCATAATTACAGTATGTTTAAAAAAAAATAACACAAAACTCTGTTTAAGGCTTCGATTAATCTGAAACAATCATCGCAATACTGGAGTAAGAAAGCATTTCATTATTTATGCTTGTGGCGGCTCACAGTGCCCACTTCCCAGCGTCCAGCTCAGCTCTGGATGCGAGTTTCCTCTCATGTTTTCATCTTTTTCATCCCTCGCTTAGCTCCAATTATGCATGACTGCAAGGACAAAAAGAGAAATCTGGTAATGAGATACAGAAGGTGAAAGAGATTTAAGATAAAGAAGAAAGGGGTCACAACATTCTTCAGAATTCTCAATAACAAACTGGCTCATTCACAGGAGACCATCAAAAAAAAACAAACAAACAACAAAAAAAAACGAAAAAAGTGGTCAAATCAGAATCTGAAATATTATAAAGAACAAACAAGCAAGTTAAACTCAGAACAGGGAACAAAGCATGAAACCAAACCAAAATTTCTTGTTAAATGCTACAAAACAGGTTTGCAGGCAGATGGAGACCATCTACACTCTTAAAGCTAAAGCTGCCACGAAGGGTTCTTTGAGCTTCACCATAGAAGTACTAGGTTTCCTAAAGCAGTGGTTCTCAAACCAGTCCTCAGGTCCCCCAAGACAGTCCAAAACTGGGCTGGAGCAAAAATGTGAACCATCTGGGGGGGTCTCTGAGGACCAGTTTGAGAACCACTGCCCTAAAGAACCATGATGGGAAGATGTGAGTTTGAGAAACCTTTTAAAGCAATGGTTCTCAAGCTGGTCCTCGGGTCCTCCAAGAGCATCCAAATTTTTCTTCTCTCTCTACGTGTTGTGAGCTGGGGTTGAAAAAATGTCCATCTGGGGAGACCCGAGGACCAATCTGAGAACCACTGCCCTAAAGAACCATGCTTAAAAGATATTTGTGAGCCAGAGGAACCTTATAAAGTAACAGTTCTCAAACTGGTCCTTGAGGCCCACATTTCACTCAGTCTCAACTCCATATAGAGCAAAAATGTGGACCATCTGGGGGGGGTCTCTGAGGACCAGCTTCAGAACCACGACTGGACGAGATTTGAGTGTGAAGAACCTTTTAAAGTAATGGTTCTCAAGCTGGTCCTCGGGTCCTCCAAGAGCATCCAAATTTTTCTTCTCTCTCTACGTGTTGTGAGCTGGGGTTGAAAAAATGTAGACTATCTGGGGGGACCCGAGGACCAATTTGAGAACCACTGCCCTAAAGAACCATGCTTAAAAGATATTTGTGAGTCAGAGGAACCTTATAAAGTAACAGTTCTCAAACTGGTCCTTGGGGCCCACATTTCACTCAATTCCAAGTCCGTACAGAGCAAAAGATTTGGACGATCTGAGGGTCCCTGAAAACCAGTTTGATAACCATTGTTTAGAGGGTTTCCAAATACCTTGACATAACGTAAAGGTTCTACACCAATTTCTACCAAGTTCTACCTTGAAACTTCAAATTATGTGGAGGTTCTTTAAAGTTTAAAAAGGTTCTTCCAAATCAAGCATCTTACTTCCAGAAATGGTTCGCTAAAGCAGCGGTTCTGAAACTAGCCCTAGGTTTCTTGCTCAATCCTTATGTGCTGCAAGCTGGGTTGGAGCAAAAATATGGATCATCTAATGAGGACAAGTACTGTTCTGAAGCAGAACAGTACTTTATGCTTCCCATAAAAAAAAAAAACCTTTTTTAATGGGAAGCATAAAAGCATTACTCTATGGAACGATGCAAAGAATCCTTTTGGCAACTCTACTTTTAAGAGTAAGTACTGAAACAAAACACACCAGTTAATATGACCAAACTGCTAATAATGCTATTAAAGCCAAATAAAGAAAAGCCACTATTTCAAAAAATACCATCATCACTGCACCGATTTGAGAGAAATGAGTTAAGCGTCTATCCAAAAAAGGGTCTTAACGAGTGTGGAAACAGTACTTAAACCAAATCTTTCTCTTGTCTAAAGGTTTTAGTTGCTCCTGAAGTGACAAGTTAAATCGATGGTGTTTTTTAGGGAAGCTGAAGATGTGAAAGTAAACAAACAAATCAAAAAGCAATAAAATAAAATGAAGAGAAAAATGCTGATGAAAAAAAGAATGGGGGTATGATCTGAATTCCTAAAGCACACAAGAAAAAGATTTGGTGTTATACAATACAAACTTGGAGGGGGTTAAAAAAAACAATTATCAAGCCTTTTGCATTACTCTTATCACTAAGCACAGGAACAGGAAATTCATGGACATATTTAGTAGCTTTTCAAATGTACAACTTTTACATATTCACATCAAAAAATATGCACCAAGTGCCCAAAGTTAGAGTCCATTTAAAAAACTGCCTGCATCAGATCAGAATCACACTTACCATTGTAAACAGGGAAATTTGCTCATCTAATCTGTACAGTATTTACATTACCACAGAAGTCAATGCTTCACCTGAAGAGGAGTTGGGGATACAAGAATGGGAACCATCTCTGCTTAGTTTCTGACCACAAGCGTTCGTGCTACGCCTCAATACTTTGCATCAAGCTCTGCCAATACTGTTTCAATTGCAAAACTAGAAAAATTAAGGGTATCTTGTGTATAAGTCTGTATTCTGCTGACCCTGAGACCAATACTGCAAAACACAGGAACTTAAGTGTCTTTAAAAGGATCTTCACCTGGAACTCTTTCAGGTTAAACAATGGTGGGGAACAAGCCTAGCTCAAATTCACGAGTTGTACTCAAGCTTTCTAGACCCATTACAATCATTTTTTCAATTTACGGACAATTTGTTCTTTGGTAGACACTCATTTTTGGCAACTGAATTTAGTGTCTGCTGCTAAGCAAAACATTTCTCGACAGAGTCACCATCTCTCAGATCATATTAGACAATATACTTGACTTTATTCTGCATGGCATCCAATCAAATGCCAATAAAAACCCAGTAGAACATCTCCTGCTGTTCAATCTTGCTCCTTCCAAACAGCGGAGTCTCTTTATTTCTTACCAGCCATACATACGTGCCCAGGGTCACGGTGGACGCTGATGAGGCAAGATCACACAAGAATACAAACCCATACACACTGCCAGCTCCTGATCGGACAGAAGCAGCAGCCCACCACAGAGACGAGATGAGACAATGATGCTGTCGCCGCCATCTGGTGGAACGCGCTGGAACTGCACTTGCCACATTCTGAGGCTGCCTTGTTTTGGTTGACTGAAGCGCCGTCATCCATGATGTTGGGTAACTCCGTAATATCTGCATGATGATGTTGAAGGGGACCTTAATCTTCAAGGTATAGCTGATGTTGGTCTTCCTAAGTGGCCCTAAGACTGGAACAGGCTGCAGAACTGCACTGGAGATAGCTCTATATCCGCACGACTCAAGTCTTTCGCTTGGTTGCAGCCGATTCACTGAGCTATGCTTCTCTGGGTGTTGAATTTAGTGGATTCGGTGAAGGCCAGATTCTGGTGTGTGCATGTGTTGACGTGGGGGGGTAAACTGAGGGGTTTGGGGGCGACGTGGAAAGGTAGAGGGCTTTGCTGATGAGGCTTTGAAGCACTAACGCTTGGCCAGAGTAGGCTAACATCCTGCAGACGCCATCTTTCTAAGTCCATACCTTTAGACTCTGAAGATACCAACTTTTCCGAAGCTTCTCCGATATTCGTACAATGCAGACAACAGGCATACAAACCATCCTCTTCACACCGGGCTCAGCTCTGTGATGAAAAGCAAAGCAAAAGTTCATCGAAGGAGACTACTTTGTATGGAGCAGAAAACTTCCAGCAGGCGTCTTTGTCTTGACTAGACGATCAGGATGCTTGGAAGATGAAGAAAACTTCATCAGAGGCTTTTTTTTTCTTGACATCTTTGGTTTTGAGGGCTTTTCTCTTCACATGAGCTTCTCTGAGGCTGTTAGCTTGAGGGGAGAAAAAAACATGAGAACACAGAACACTGTTAGCTTCAAAATGATTTTTGAAGGCTAGGAAACGGGACACCCAGAAACTTCCCTTCAACCTGTCCTAAAATCCTCTGACAGCTGAAGATGGTCTACACCTACTGAGCCAATGAAGGCGCTTCTACTGTGTGTGGGCAAGTTCTCTCCTAATGTTTAAAAATTCTGAGGTTCCAAGTGTGTGTAACTCAGCGAAAATCATACTGTGGCACTGGCAACTAAGTTACTGTGTGTTTACAGTCCATTTCTGTGTGCAAGTCACGCTCTATAAGAGTTATAAGAATATAAATATAAATCTAGTCATTGCTATACAATATCATCTCCCTCTAAACTGAGTTTGGATGGCTGTGCTGAGCAGATATATGGTCCCTTATGTCTCGCCTATCAAATTATCCTCCCCTTCCCTGTCCCTTCTATGAAGTGGTCAGACAAGCTGAGCTGGCTTTGCAGTCTATCTTGCTGGGGTCTGAGGGGGTAAACGTAACCCCAAGCCCAGTCAGAAAGGCCAAACATGTATCTAAACAAGGAAAGGCCAGGCTGGACTGCACATACTCCACCGGCACAGAGGGCCTGAACCTGTGGAAGAGCAGAAGAAGACAGAGAGAAGAGAAAGAAAGTCAAACATATTGTAGGATTTTCCATACATATTATTGCCAATCATATAAGTGCCAATCACTGTCTCGGTGCAAAACTTTAGTTGGGCGAGACCAGGGGTCACCAATCTTATCCACAAAGCCCTGGTGTGGCTGCAGACGCACACCTGATTCCACTTGTTTAATCAGTTGTCCTCAAGTGAAAACCTGCAGCCACACCAGCCCTGACATGGACAGGTTTGGGACTCAAAACCACTAACACTGCAACGATAAAATTGCCAAATTATCAACACCTACTGTCCCATCTCAAAATTCCAGTCTCTCCCTGTAATCTGCACTCACGTTTTGAAAATGGCCCCCAGCGCTAACTTCCTCTCACGCTCCACAAACTTGTCAATGAGGTAAGCAGCCATGCGTGGCGCTCTTTTGTACAGCTGGAAGAAGCGGTGGAAGTTTCCAAGCGCCCAGGCAGCACGGAGCGCGAGAGCATGAGACACGCACTCATCCTCGCGGAGTTCGGGGGTGAGGTACACCAACTCGGTGGTCAAGTCTGAGAGAAAACAGGGAAACTGATGAGGGCTGAGCGCATGACATACTGCATGGAATCTTAATTTAGTCACGATGGGTGGAACTGGTTAGTACCAGTGTGAAATACAACAATGGAAAAGCTGACACTGCTACACGGTACTGACTGCAGTCAGTGTCAAGTGGTCTTATACAGTTTTGACAAATTAAAGAAAAAAAAACAGTGAAGTGTCTGCCAGAACAGATTCAGCGCACCTTTACATGGATTCTACATGTCTTTGGAACTATAATGGATGGATTCTTGCCAAGGTATTCAACTGGGTTAAGATCCAGTGACTTCAGACTTCATAACATTTTTTTTTTCATATCATTTTTACATTCATCTTTCCCAGAGAGCTAAACGCTGATGTCACTTTGGTGAAAGTTCCATTATATATATCCATTAAAATATCCTTACAGTGTAAATATCTTTTATAAAAAAATAAGAAAAAAACAGCTTTTATTTATTTATAATCCTTTATATTGTTAACCTGTGTGAAGGACAGAGTTTATATTTATCTTATTTTTATCTATTTTTTTTAGTTCTGTATATAAAGTAGCAAGTAACTATATAATTAAGCAATTAACAAGGTTAATTACTTGCTTGTTAATTCTCTTCTCTTTTCTTGAGTGCCTTGCTATCCCTTTGTTGCTGTAACACTGAGAATTTTCCCACTGTGGGACTAATAAAGAATTATCTTATCTTATTAGGAAAGAGTGACTAGTTGAGCAGTCTTGAAGCTCCTGGCACAATTTATTCAGGTTTTTTTCTTTAATTTGTCACCTGTCTGTATACAAGGAATTGTTAAGCAAGAAAAACAGGAGAGGCTGGAAAGATTGATGCCTGAAAAAAAACTGGCAGACGAGACAAAGTACCTCCAGAGTTTTTAGTGAAGATGTAGTACAGTAGTCTGTAGGCGGTGAATTCTCCCACGTTGCTCGACGGGCAGTCCTTATAAAGTGCCTTCAGCTGCGTCTGGCACTGGTTGAACTCCTCGTGGTCTCCCTGCCAATACACAGCGAGCACAACAGTCACGTTACACTCAATGTGAGAACATAGCTTGGACACAAATTTACTCTCATCTATGAATGAGAGAAGACAACATACCTTCTCCAGTGCAATACGCGCATGCGTCTCGTAGACCTCCACCGTGAAGTCCGTTCGCACACCTTGCACCTGAGAGGAAGATTTAACATCAGAATACGAAGACAGAAACAGAAACAAAGCAGCATAGAGCTTCGCATTTAGGGCTGTAAGGAAGTTACTGAGCTTTACTCACAGTGAGGTCCTGTCGTATTGATTTCATCTGTTCACAGGCGTACTGGTAATCCTGATTAGTCTTCCAGTGAGCCTTCACTGCAGTCAGAGCCTTTTTCAATACCTGAAACACAACAATACACCACTGAGCGCACACTGCATGAACAATCCTAATGTGTACCGCCTTTCAATACAAAAAACTCTTCACACAGGCACAGAACAGCCTTCGCAATTACCAGAACAGCTGACTGAAGCATTGTTTATTTAAGCAAAAGAGCTCTACAACATTCATATGTTATACAGGGTCATTCAGATATTGCAATACACTACAGATGGAACTTTCAATGACCGTAGTGCTGTGACAGGACAAACTAGAGGAAACAGCAGGTGGCATGACTTGAATTTTTCAAATAATAGTTGATATTCAACTTAAAAAAAAAAAAAAGAAATCGCTAGTTGAAACTCATGCTTCACAAAATACACAAGAACAGTGAAATGTTTTGATGCGGCTACGCTAAGACACTTACAGGAACAGGTCTGACTGTGGAAGGGTCTGGAGCGCAGGTGAGGCGCAGGTAGTTTTTGGTGATCTCCTGGCAGGTTCCCACAATGGGGCAGTCCTCCCAGCTGAGCCCCTCTTGGGTGCCATTTGGAAGGTCGAAGGCGTTGATGTTCAGTACCAGAGGCTCAGTGCGTTTGGTGTGGAAACGCGCAGCTCGGCTTTGCTTCTTCGCCTCGCGGTTCGGGTCGTGGAAATCCAAGCCTGCGTTGCCTCCCTTTCGTTTCTTACCAATGCCACTACCAGGGTCATCCATGTTCCTAACAAAGGGTGAGAAGAACACAGGGTTCAACAGGACGACTGAAACTGCACAGCCAGTCATTGCCACCCCGGAGACTGTCATATCTATTTTTACATGCAACTTAACCTCGGCTTCGAGACTGATCTATTATGGAAGCAGCTTTAACACATTGTGCCTTGACAGCAATGCCTACAGTAACAGCTAAGAACAAAATAATTAAATGCTGTATAAAGCATAAGCAGTGAGGGCTCCAGACTTGCACTACAGTTTGCGAACTTAAAACCTCGTTAAGACAAATGTGAAGCCAAATCGTTCCATCTTGGTCACTAAAATGGAGTAAATTGTTCACCTGCGCCCTCGGTTTCCTTTTCCTCCTCTTCCTCTGCCTCTCTCTCCTCCTCCCCTCCCTCGATCTCTTTCTTCCCCTCGGCCTCGTCCGGCCCGCTGTTGCCGACGAGAGACAGGCCAGAGGTCGCTGGACATGCTGCTATCTGACTGGGAGCCAGAGTCGCTGTGTGCATAACACAAACCTCCAATCAACCACAAGCTCCATCATCTCTCCAGAGATTTCTGTGACTGAAAGCTTAGCTTGCAGTGTTATTGTCTATATGCCTGTAGGTTTATTACCTGCGGCGGTGTCTACTCCTGTCTCTGTGACGGCTGTGAGGGGAAGGCGATCGTGACGAGGAACGGGAAGAGCTTGAGGAAGGGCTTCTCTGAGAAAACACATTTCTATAGTTACCCAGTCTGGCCCCGCCCCTGCCTCGGGTGGCTCCACCTCGACCACTGGCGTTCTCCTGCGAGCGCTGAGGAATGGCCTCCCAGCGAGACTGTCTGGGCTTCACGCTGCAGAAAAAGAGTATGATTAATTTCTCTTCTTTAAAAGTATGACATAGGAAAAGCAGCAATGGTGGGCGATACGGCCAAACCAAATATCATTATTATTCACGGTACACAATATGTATCAGGACATTTCGCCTGTCCTAAGAGCAAGTTGGAACAGACAAAACAAAATCAGCAAAACAGAAATGCCACATTTCAAAAGGGACATCTGAGTTGTTGTGGAACACTTGCAAAAATAAGCTATTTAAGAAAGAAAACAAATAAGATAATTATAATGAGAGTATTATAGTCCTGCAACCTTTCCATTAGGCTGGTATACACTGACTGTTTAATGGCTCTCCATAATTGGTCTTAATCTACTTTTTATTAAACATTCAGTAGTTTAGTTTTCTATAAATACTGACTATAACCACGGTACAATGTGAAGACTGTACTGTGATATAATTTATCGTAACAGCAATAGCCCTGTCATATTACCCAGCCCTAAATGAAAATGCATAACCACAACAGCAAAACAAAGACATGCAACTCACTCTGGTAGTGGTTCTCGTGTCCAGTCAATAGTGAAGGCAGAGCCATCTTGCAGCCTACTCTGCAGAATGTCTTTCAACACCTTCTCTGTGCGGTCTTTGTCCTCTTCTGTCTCGCAGGCCGCAAAGCAACGCTGCACATATTCCTTCATGGCCTGAGGCCAGTCCTGAGGGCTACATACAAAACAAACCACATCTTTAGCGCCCCTCTCAGCCCACTGAAGCTTTTACCACAATCCTGCTCTGTGGATGTTTTGATGAATCAAGGTATCCATAATCACCTGACAAATGCAAATATTTTGGCAAAATAAAAGTATTCTTTTCAGTGCAATCTTCAATTTCCTATCAAGAGTTAACCACTGTGTTTTAAGTATACCAAAAGGCATATTGCAACAGGTGTAGACTCACCCTGCCTGAGCAGCTCCTGCAGTGGAAGTTGTTGCTGCTGAAGATGCTGAGGTCCCGGTGGTGGCTGCCGTGGAAGTAGCCAAGCCAGGCGGCTGTTCGCCAGGGGGAAAGTTCTGATTGGCCATCACATATGGGCGTTTCTGGATGTTAAACTTCACACCACCAGTTCCAGGAGCCTCTGTAGGTTAAGAAAAGATTAAGAGTTCTCCAAGCAGTAATAAACCAGTCTGATCATTATGGTCATTATTATCGTAATCAGAAGTGCTAGCATGTGCATCATCTAGAAAAAGTATATCACAGAAATGTACAGTATCTCACAGTAAAATCATTTTTCATGAATCCTTGGCCTGGACACTAAGCGGTCTGCTATTCATTATTACAGTATGGGGCGGGGGCAACACTGCACTTACAGCAGCCTCAGGTACTACCCAGCCTTGCAATACAATCATGATATGGTATATTGTCCATTCTGTGGAGCCCTAATGAACTCAAACATACTTACGTTTCATACGGTTCCACAGCTGCTGACCACCCTTGTTCATATTTGTATTGTTGGGTTTCTTATTGCCGTCTCCTCTGCCAGCTCCTCCATAGGGGCCCTGCCCTGGACCCAGCTGCGGTGGAGGCGGGTAACCCGGAGGCTGGTAACCCTGGTAACTTGGCCTAGGCTGCCCATGATTATAGCCCCTCATGGGGTTGGAGTCAGTGGGGCTGTAGGGTAGGGCACCGTTTGGATTGTAGGGGGTTTGGGAGGGGGGTGGGGGGTACTGGGCATTGGGTGGGGGTGGTATGGGCGGGGGTGGTGGGGGAGGGGGCTGGTCAGATGAGGTGGGGCTCTGTGGGGGGGGCTGGGGTACAGCGGGTGGCGGTGGCTGGGGTTCAGACGAGTAACTGGAGGACTGCTCCTCCATCATGGGCATGGCCGGAGGCTGAGGGGGGGATATTAATACATTACATAATAGGTCAATACAATGACCAAACAATTCATGCTTTCTCACTGCTAAAATCATCATCTTTTAGACTACTTGGACAATAACACTAAAGATGGAACTTTTACCACAATATAGCAAAAATTTAAAAATGAAGGAAAAAAAAACAACAATATATAGAAAAGCAGACATTTTGGCTTACCACTGCATATACAATATTCTTACTATGTGGACAATATCATGAGATACCAAAAACAAACAAACAAATAAGATATACCAAAACAAACAAACAGATTTTGGCTCTTCACCGTATTAAAAGTTGTCTAGTACCGGTAGTATTAATTATTCTTTAGCATATACAATGTATACCACAAACAACCCTTAAAAAATAATAAATAAATATTAAAAACAAAATAATATTTTTTTTTAAACATCAATGTGGTGTGATTTTTTTTTACCTGTCCAGTAGGGGTTGTCGGTGGTATGTAAGGTCCTGGAACACCATACTGAGCCGGGGGATACCCGCCTCCATACTAACAAAAAATACACAAATATTCTAGGTCAGCATATGTTTTGCCCCAGTTTATTATGGGGTCAACGCAATCAACGCAATTAAAATTTACCGGAGGCATAGGGTAGTAGTTGTAGTAAGGGTACGCGTATCCTGGGTACTGTTGCTGGTTCTGTGGGTACCATGGATAGTACTGTTGTTGTTGTTGTTGCTGCTGCTGCTGCTGCATTGCAGAAGAGTCAGTCACTGCTGTCTGGTACTGCCCAGCCTAAAAATTAAAACAAAATATCATTAATCCCACAGAGTTCCCATCATCCCATTCACATCATAGGTGTATTTCTGATATCACTAAAACAAACACTACCACAAATCATTGATAACATAAATAAAATTACAATAATACAATAATAGCCAAGTGATCAGTTTCCACTGGCAGCCATACATGGCACAACCGCCACCATGTTTCACGGATGGGCTGTTTTTGCTCTGGTTCATGAGCAGATCCTCACTTTGATCACACTTTCTTCTTACAGTTACTCTGCTACAGGTTAATTATATCATCTGTCCCTAAGACTTTACAGAACTGCTCAGGTTTCACAGCATGTTCTACGCTGCATATTGAGGTAAATCCTCCAGACTTGTGCTATTTTTTTATTTATAAATGTCGTCCTGATTTATTTACAGTTGTCTTTGACATCTTTATGCCTACATCCTGGATGGTGTTCTAGACCTGCCCAGAAGTTTTATTTTCAGGATGCAAAGTATTCTTGTACCACTGAAAGTATGTTGTTGCTTCCTAATCTACCAGGCAGTTGATTTTCACAGCCCTAATTTATTAGTTATGCCTTTGATGATGGTGGGCAATACAGGGTGATTCAAAATGATTCATCTGATTACAAAATGATTTATTTCACTCGTAAATCATTACAGATCAGTGCAGTAGACTTTAAATGGTTTAATTGAGCATAAAGTTTATTATGTAATTGTACAAGTGCTCAGTATGAACCTCCTCCAGCTGTACAGACAACATCAACACCATAGTCAGATTCATCCCATACTGGATTGAGCATGTCGGGTGTCGCTGCACTCACGGCTCTTTCAGTGCGATTTCGGAGATCATCCAGTGTTGTGGAACCAACGCCAAACGCTCTGAGCTGCTGGAGCTTCACTGACCACGAAAATCACGCTGCACAGTTATGACGGATTCACTCTTATTGAAGTGGAGAACGCAGAACGCTTTCTGCTCAGGGGTCGCATCTCCTATGACCCACTCTTTCAATTGGTGTGTGATTGGTTCCTAGGCGCCTTATGGTTGTAAAAATATGGCGTGTTGAAATCGGATGAATCTTTTTAAATCACCCTGTTTATAATTTTTGTCATAAATGATGTCTCAATACCCTTTTCTGAGCAATCATGGGCTTTGTCACCACTTCCAGAATAGTGAATAACAACAAGTAAACTAACTAAACCACCACCAACTGCATAGTAACAATTAGCTGACTGGGCGTCAACTCATTATGCCCATCTTATTTTATAATCCAATAATTGGTATATATATATATATATATATATATATATATATATATATATATATATATATATATATATATATATATATATATATATATGTGTATTTTTTACCAATTATTGGATTTTTCCTACTTCCTGTGCCCTTTTTTACAGTCGTATTGCTGTTTTTCTGACAGGTATTGTACTTTCCAACAATTAAATGCCATGATACATACTACGTACAACTAAAATGTCTTTAACTATTGTGATGTTATATTTTTACCATACTGCCGACCAGCTTAATAGCCTTGGCAGACAAAAGCGACTTAAGACACAAAAGCCACACTTAAAATAAGATCTTTTGTTTTGAACGGAATTAAAATAACTCATATCCTGAGTTAATGTCCTGAGAAGTGATATTGCTTAAGCAATCAGTCTCTTATGGAGAAGTTGACCAAATGGTTTCGCTTCATTAGCAGAATCAGGCAATCACGCTCACTTCTGTAAATCTAACATTAGCATACATGACACAACGACCATTTCCTATTTATCAAACAATGTGAGAGCCAATATTAAACAATTTGCTGACAGAAGACATAAGTACTATTAAGTATGTTGTTTTCCACTGCTTCTTCAGGCAAGTCATGTGGTTGTCTGTTTTTTTTCCTTTTCGGTAAAAAAAAACATTGGTGCAAAAGTGCTTTAACTTCAAATAAAAATATGTGAGAGTTAACCAATGCATTATAATATATTGTAAGGCACAATGCAACTGCCTCAAGTAGCAACACAACATGATCTGGATTACAAAAATAACATTGCCATGATTTATTATACGCCACTAAATATATTAAAACATACAGGTTAATCAATAATATGACTTAGTTAAAGATTGTCCTGCATTATTCTGAGCGAAATCATTTCTGTTGGGACATGTTAATGCCTTGATTCACCAAAACTCCCACAACAATTGGAACTGTGATTGGTCAGGATGGTCATGGCACAGAAAAAGAACTAAAGAAAATAAAAACAATTTCAAAAAAAAGTTGAGATGTGATAATTAAATATTCACAATCAATCTGTCAGTAGAGCACAGTTTAACTAAGACTAAGAAAAATCTAAAATCATTTTCATCATCAGATCAGGTTATCAGATTTTGTAGCCCCTTAAAATCTTTACTGGCCACAAAATGTTTATATTGGTTAGACTTTCCAGTTTTTGCTTTTCAATTTTAGTGACATTTCTGCAAAATACAGAGTGATTCAAAAAGATTTATCCAATTTCAAAGGTCCATATTTTTACAACCGTGAGGCGCACAGGAACCAATCACATACCAATTAAAAGAGGCGGTCAGAGGAGATGCGACCCCTGAGCAGAAAGCGTTCTGCGTTCTCCACTTCAATAAGAGTGAATCCGTCATAACTGTGCAGCGTGATTTTCGTGGTCAGTGAAGCTCCAGCAGCTCAGAGCGTTTGGCGTTGGTTCCACAACACTGGATGATCTCCGAAATCGCACTGAAAGAGCCGTGAGTGCAGCGACTCCCGACATGCTCAATCCAGTATGGGATGAATTTGACTATGGCGTTGATGTTGTCCGTACAGCTGGAGGAGGTTCATACTGAGACCTTGTACAATTACATAATAAACTTTATGCTCAATTAAACCATTTACACTTTACTGCATTGTTCTGTAATGATTTACAAGTGAAATAAATCATTTTGAAATCGGATGAATCTTTTTGAATCACCCTGTATATCTGATAGACAATGAGCATTACCTCAGTGATACAGAATCCATGAAACAGTGGTCGTCCTGTTTGCATTTAGTTTTTAAAATGAACTATTTCTTGTGCACTTTATTTATCGTATCCAGAACCAGACAAGGTTACATCATTCACACGTTTTGAAATAAGCCTTAAATCCATGAACACATCAATAAGTTTCCTTTTTGCAGGTCTGGTTTCCATCTGGTTAATGTTCACAATACTGATTAAGGTTCCCTTTGGTTTGATAAGAGCAACCAGAACTAAAAGGTCCAATCAAAACAGGCTTTATCAAGTTTCCATTGTTTTAGCATACAGTACCAGGTCTGAGGAAGGACAGGGTCATTACGTTTATTAATAAAAACTTCTGATAATCTGATCCAATTATATTCAGAAAACATTGCTATATTAAATTTGACCAATATCACTTTGCACCAATTTGCATACTGCACCATGACTGCAACATGCAAATATTGACCATGATGTTCAGTATTGCGAGAGCTACCAACAATGACAACAATAATTGTGCAGCCCTGCTATTCCCATGATTAGCCTAACCTGTGAGGTGGTGCGGTTGGCTGGTGACGTCTTGGTGGAGTTCTGGCTTTTGCTGATAGAGGCCAGGGCCTGTCGGGCCTTCTCCCACTCTGGGTTTTCATGCACAGGAGCCTCAGATGCAGAACTGCCTCCATAAGCCCTGGAGATGAAAGATGAGCCACAGTTCATTTAACAGTGTAACCTCAATTTATAATTAGCATCTTCAAGCCAGTTTCAGCATTTTAAAACAAGACCCTGATCTACTTAACCCTTCTGCTCAAACACACGACGCATTAAGATCACTTTACACACATGGATGTTGCTAACGATGCACGACTTCATTTTAGTACATTAAATATCCCAATAAAACAATGAGAATAATTAAAATACCAAATGTTGACAAAAACGCAGACACTAATTAGAATAAAAAGGTAGTAATGCGCTTTTGGACTCAGCTTCCTGAATTCTTACCATAAATATCATGATTTGGGCACAACTGAAGCAGGATTCATAGAAATGTTTATTAAAAGCAAGCTCAGCTTCAAGTTAGCTCAAAAAAACAAAGTTAGGCCACGTTTACGTAGCAGGTAAAAGCGGCCCAAACCTGATCTTTTTCCTCATATGTGACATAGAGCAAAAAAACGCATCAAATGTGACATTTTCAATTCCGACTTAAGGCGCTTTCATATGTGGTACTGAAATCTGATAGGTATCCGATCTGTGGAAATCCGACTCAGTCTGAACAGCCAGATCGGAATTCATGCGACTTTTACATCAATCCTACTCGACATTCGTCATCATATTGCCCTGCTGTGAGCTCAAACATTTAGGCTGATGTTTCTGTACGAAAAAAAAACCATCGCAATCTCTTCGTGGTTGAAGAGATTTCGAAAGAAATGGCCATAGAGGAGCGAGGCGGCAGCGTCCGAAAACAGTTCAAAGTGTGAAAGCAAAGTTTAAAGAATCCGAGGACGCGAACCAAAGAAGTGACCGCGGCTGAATAACACGCCTTTTAATGCGAGCTTGAACACATCCTGGGTGATGAGCCGAGCTGTCAGCCATCTGAACTTCATGATGGCTCCTGTGATGCTGACGAAACTGAATCCTTTGGGAGCGACGGGCCTTTGTTCATAGTCAGGATTGATCTCTGGACGAGCCACGTGAAGCATTGTCCTTGGCGCATGCGGGTCAGTTTGGGAGCTGCTCTGTTCAGACTAAAGTCACATACAGGTCACATTTAAAAAATATTGTGAACAGCCAAAGAAAAAAAAATCAGATTTGGTGAGAAAATCAGATTTGGGCCACTTTTACCTGCTGTGTGAACGTAGCCTTAGAGACAAGTCACAGACAGGTTTAAGCTACTATGTCCTTATGGGAATATCTCAGAATCATACTGGTATCACCAGATAACTGCACTGAAGAAAATCATCAGCATCGGACCGATTTGACTGATATCTGATGGTGTATTTATTTTACTCTGGAAAAGCAGTGTTTAGGCGTTTACACAGAATATCTCCATTTTATTCAGTTTACTAGATTTGTAACCTGTAGAAATAAACGTTACTCTTTTTCTGTTAATGCAGCTGGATTTCACCTTCTGTGTTTTCAAAATGTTTATGTATCAGTACCAGCACATATGCAGATTGCATATCAGTGCTTGCTTTGCAAATGTATGTGCTAATAAACCAGCTTGCACGTCTTTTCTGCTCTAATGCAGCTAAAATATACTTTGCCACTAGCTGGGTGTCTCCAGCCAGCTTTAAAAAGGAATTGCACCCATTTAAAAAGAAGCGTACCAAGCCAGAACTATCCAGTGGTGGTGGTAGGAAATACATAATGCTTCCTGATTTCTGAGACAGTATTTTATGGTAGATTTCAGATTAAACTTTGTCCTAACACCTATTTTCAGAGAACTATAAGCAGAGCACTGTGTACTTTCACATATACACATGCACACATGTACGTTCACTGGTCAGTTTGAGTAATAAATAAAATGTCTACATTTGCATTTAAGATTTCCTGACCCCTGGTTCCTGTCACCACCACAGTATCTGAGTCTCTACTATCAACCATTTCACGCCAATATAAATAACTTTGTTTACATCGTAACCACTGATTTATGCAGAATTTTGTTGATGGATTTTTCATTTAAAATGAGGTGTCTTAACTAAATAAATACATTTATCGTGCGATCTCCATGCAATTTAAGTTGTGGGCAACTCGTAAAAATACGGTTTAACTGATAGCTTATGTTGGCCAGCACTGCTAAAGATAGTAACTTGCTAAGAAGCTATACAAAATGTTTCTTCTGCTGAGTTTCATACTCAAATGCAGATTATTTTAATCCCACCACTTTATTACCTTCACGGTGCACCTGAGCCAGCTTTAGACTACACCAACGTTAATATTTAACAGGAGTTATAACAATTTATTCTTAATATTACTGCCTACTTACCCCCAGATAAGGTGATTTAGGCTAGAGGTGGACAACATGGCTCAAGGTTATGATACACGGCGTGTCACGATATTTATTATTTCTAACATCTGATAAGTTATAACAGACAAAACAGTGCCACATTTTTAAAAATACTACAAAAACTCCAAATCCAATTACTTGTATTCAGGATTTCACACACTGTCCTGCACTAAATCCAATTAAACAGGACTAATGATGCTCTCTTCGTAATAAAACACAGTCGGGCGTTGCTTTTTAAGCACTGATGATATCCAGGATATGCTAGAAGAAGCATACTGTGACATACCGATGTAATTTATCACGATAACAACAAATATTGTCCTATTGCTCAGCGACAATATATGTGACCTGTGTTTTTAATCTAATATGGAAGGTGAATACGAAGAGAATATGATTGTTATTGTGATAAATTGTGTCACAACACACAATACAACACGTCAGTACTTGAAGATAACTGACCAACTGCATGTTTCTTTACAAAAAGAGCAAAATTAGTCCTGTTTAACTGGATTTTGTGCAACACAATATACCACATGCTTAATACAAATCATTATGTTCACAGTTTTTGAAAGTACTTGCACTTCTGATTCTTTTTTCGGTTCCAATCGATCATATGTCTGAAAAAGAAATATCGTGATATATCGTGCATCGTGACTGTATCTTGTGGTATCGCTAAATCACCCACCTCTATCTGATGAGGCGATTTAGACTATCAAAATACACTACTGTATTAACTTGCTGTACTTTTAACGCTGGGGTTATTTTCTGATGAGGTGATTTGGGCTATCAAAAAATCCTGCCTGCAGTTTTATGTAGAGCGCTACCTGTAAAAACGCACTAACGTTACTGAAGGACATTTCGAGAAGGACTGAACCGAGCTGCTCACGTCCGGTAGTGAACAGTCCGGTTCAGCGAGTCAAACCCATCTAGGGCCGGTTTGTGAAGCAGCGGTGACGCAGCCCGTCTGCAGACCTCCGCCTCCGTCCATCAGTCTTTTCTAGACAGGGAATATAATCTTACCAGCTCGGTGTCGGGGCCTGCTGCGCCGCGTTCGTCGCCATTTTGGTGCCAGAGTTTTCAGGCCGCTCTGAAACCGAGGCGGCCGAGCTGAGCTAAGCTAAGCTAAGCTAAGCTAATTAGCCAGTTAGCTTTCCTCAGACAAGAGAAGCTCCGCAGCTCCGGCTTCTACAGCGGGAGACGGAGTTTTTCACCTTCGCCGAAATAACACAACACTGCAACACGGAGAACAGTGTAAACTGCTGGATGGACCCGTTTCAAACGCGAAACTAACTGATATTTAGGCCATAACCGAAAAACGGATCCAGAGCTACGGCGGTTACTGCGAGTCAACACCTACTGCAAAATGGTCGCCGGTGACTCGAATGACGTCAACGCGTCCTCTTCTCTGATTGGAGGAGAGAAATTTCATAATTTTCATTTTTAAATTCTATGTATATTTCTTTTTTTCTATACTGCATTTATTTTTTTAATCTAGTGATTACTTTTATTACATTTTTAATAATTATTTTTAATTTTTTACTATCACTGCTGTTATTTCATTACTATTATTAGTATTACTAATGTTTATTTTATGCGAACTCATTTTTATTTATTTTCCCACACTTTTATATTCACGTGATCTCTTTATCTCTTTTTTCTTTTAGTCTTCTGTGAAGCACTTTGAGCTGCATGTGTGTATGAAAAGTGCTATGCAAATAAAGCTTATTATTATTGTTGCTGTTTTGTTGTTATTATTAGTATTATTATTGTTGTTGATATTATTATCTACAAATCTTGGCACATTAATACAGTACACTTCACAACTGGGGCCTCATTTAGCCCTTATATGCTCAAAATGAAACTTTTATCGTCTTTTTCAAGAATGATTTAAGAAAATATGCAATTGACCATCCAAAAAATGTATAGACCTATCTCAAGCAATCATTTTTCATTTTTACAAGGTTTCTTTGCTGAGCGTGCATGGAGTAACAGCGTGAAAGTCACAAGGATAATTATGTTAGCCTAGAATTAGCAAATAGGCATGCAAATAAAACCTTACATATATAGATATATAAAACCTGTGCATATATACACATAAATCCACATATGCGTATGCGTATGTATATATGTATAAATATGTATATATATATGTGTGTATGTATATATATATATAAAAACACCTGCACATAGGTTGTTGTGGAGGAATGTGATCGTGAACATCAGATACTGTTAATTAAAGAAATTATTAGCTATGTGTGTGTTGTACATATGCGTATGGTGAAAAAAGTGTCATATTTCAGAACACCGTTGGGCCTTTTTGAGGCCTCTGTGTAGCCTAGCTGTCTTAAAGAAGATTAAAGAATCATATAAAGGCAAGAAAAAGAGATTATAGCACAGACTCACATGGTATAATGGACAGAAGTGTTGGAAAGCTCTGTGGAGTTTGTAGAATGTTCCCGATGTTGAGAATCGTCCTGAGCTGCCCTCACTGATGCAGCAGTGAACAGGACGGAACTGGAAACGCTTTAATAAATACAAAACAACAGGAGCTTATGGGCCATTAGGACGTTTCTCAGGCCTCTTTCCCTGCTGTAAAACACAGCTCGGACCAGCATGGACCAGCACATCGGCATCCAAAACACAGCATATGCTGGTTTTGCTGGTGACCTGCGATGCTGGTCTGTGCTGGTTTTTCTAGCAGGGTTGTTTTGTCTGTACTGTCAGCTACTAATACTGTACTATATTATACTAATTCAAAATGATACAAACCCCAAAACCTAAAGGAAACTGGAAACAGTAGAAAAACACTACACACAAAATACAAATGGTTCTCCAAGGGTTCTTTAGTAAAGAAAATGGTTCTATGTAGAATGATGAACACTTGAAAAACCCTTTGCATGATTAAAGGGTCCTCTGCATCATGAAAGCGTTCTTCAGATTGATGGAGAATGTGCTGTAGATGGTTCTATGTAGATGTTTTTTGAAAAGCACCCAAAAAGGTTCTTCTACTGTTACAAGCTCAACATTGTAACAATAGAAGAACGCTTTCATGATGCAAAGAATCCTTTCATCATGAAAATGGTTCTTTGAGTGTTCATGGTTCTGTATAGAACCGTTTTCTTTACTAAAGAACCATTAAGGAACCATCTTTTTTAAGAGTGTATGTTTGATTTTTTACCTTATGACCTGTTTTTTTTTACTGGTTTATATCTTTATTATTATTATTATATTTTTATTTTTTGTAAATATACACTCATTTCAAGTATGATGGCTGCAACTTGCTCCAAAAACTGTGTGATATCACTTTCCTTTTAACAACACTTAATAATGGTTTGGAGAATTAATGGATCCAGCTTTGAAAGCAGAATTGTTTGTCATTATTTTGTTATACGAGTCTTCAACTGTGCAGCCATATGAGGCCTTCATTTGCATTTTGCACACATTTTCGCTGGGAGACGGTGATGGACTGCAGGCAGTAGGTCATACTGGGTCCTAAAACCACATTGACAAGTCTGTGTGACCTTAATAAACATGTATATGCAGTTTGAACAGGTTTTGTTGATGTATTTACAGAAATAAATTGGGTGACTATTGACTTCTAGTGTTTGTTAACAACTTTAGCTTGGTAGCTCCAGCTCTGAACTTAGGAAGCAAAACTTTGCCTCCAAATGTGTCTTGGCTGACTGACTACATCTGGGGTGAGTGTAAGATTGGATAAATTTGATTTTTTACCAAACTATTCCTTTAATTTAATCTGTTACTGTTTATTTGAATGATTTTTAATGTTCATTTATTCAACTTTATTTTCTTTTGTTGCTGTTGATGGGCTTTAATGTCTGTCTGTAAAGCACTTTGAGCCATTACCTGTATGAAAAGTGCTCTGTGAACAAAGATTATTATTATATTTCACATTAACCAGATTTCAATACAGAAAATTTCTAAATAAAACTGTTATGGCTGAAGAGACAGGTGAAGAGAAAGATGTTCAAGGCAGGTACCTTTTAATAAAAGCTCTAGCAGGTCACAGAGTGACTCTACTGTGTTTACATATTTATATTTGTATATTTAATCACAACTCAGAGCAAAGGCAAAGTGATGAGCTTTAGGAAGTCATTAATCAGTCATTCACTGCTCCACTTTTCCACAGTCTTCAGGTAAGTGAGAGACAAAGTCTACCACCATTTGATCAAACCAGAATACGCAAACCTCAATTCCAAGGAAGACGAGACGGTACAAAACAGTACAAAACACAACATTTATGTTTTATTAACTTTATTCTTGCTTTTCTGGTAAATATACACTTAATCCATGCTCCAAAAAAGTTGAAATGAGACTATGTTTACCACTGTGTTATATCACCTCTCATTTCAACAGCGCTTAACAATTGTTTGGGAACTGAAAACACCAACTGATCCAACTTTAAATGTTTTATTGATTTATTTACCTTTATGTAACCAGGAAAATCTCTTTTACAGGAGTGTCCTGGCCAAGACAAGCAGTGGCATACAATAAATTGTCAATAATTAACAACCCCCCAAATAAATAATTTAAAACACTGACAAACAGTTTTACCCACTTCCACTGTTTAAAGAATGTTTCTAAAACTATTCAATGACACAAGTTCCTGAGGTTTTAAGTCTTTCTGTACAAATTCCAGCCATAGTGTGGCATAACTAGAAGCTTGTTGACCTAATTCAGTAAATCTTAAAAAGATAATAAATACACAAATAATTATTTTTTCAGCCATTATGCCATTAAGTTTTTAACTGCACTACCAGATGGGACCTTTGTTGTCATGCACTTCATAATGCAACACATTTTCAATGGGAGACAGTTCTGGAGCCCAGGCAGGCCAGTCTAGCACCCGCACTCTCTGAGCCATGCCATTGTAACATGCTGAATGTAGCTTAGTGCCGTCAACATGGACATCCCTGAAAAAGACGTTGTCTAAAAGGCAGTATATGTTGCTCCAGAATGTGTCCAGCGTTAATGGTGCCCTCACAGATATGCATGTTACCTACCAATACTGCCCCACTATGACTTATCCTGGCTTTTGAACTTTACACTGGTAACAATTTGGACCATACTTTTCCGCTTCAGCCTGGAGGACACAATATTTGCCAAAGTATTCCTAAGCGCATGCGGTGATATCCATTACAAAAGCATGCTGGTTCTTAATGCAGTGCTGTCCAATGTCACTGAGGGCATTCAGTTGATGATATTATGCATTGTAGAGGGTGAAATACCTCAAATCTTTGGAATTGCTTGTATATATATGTATGAATATGCATGGTCCTGAGGTTTGGTGCTTCAGAGCCTGTCCTGACCAGTCACTGCCCAAAAAAGGATCTTGCAACATTACAAAGTTCCAAAACACTCCAGCAAAACCACAACACAGTGGCTCCAAAAAAAGAAATGGGAAGTTCTGGGATACAGCATTTCTATGATAATGTGCAGGCGTGGACCAGAATTCCTTCAAGGTATGCACTTACTTTACCATGCCCCCCACAGATGCCTTTGTCTACATGATTGATGACGGTGTTTATGAATGAACTTTCTAAACTGTGTAAATTCAGTGTTATTTGTTCGATTAAAAAAAAAATACTGATGTTCATACATCTATATGGCAAAATATGTCAAAAGACTTTTTTTTGCATGCTTTCTGGGTTGTTTTTGGACTGTGTGGCACTTCATATTTCAAGTGAGTACATGTGGAAATTTAATAAGTAGCAAAATATGGATTTAAAAAATTTGACATATTCTAGCATATATGGATTCCCTTATATGCAACTTCTATAAGTCATATATGGACGTATATGTGACATTTATGCCAACATGTTTGAAATTGGCCATTTTAGTCATATATTAATGCATGCAAACATGTGTATTTAACAATATATGATAGAAAGCATCATTCACATATATATAATATATAATATAATATATACAATATAAATAATTGCAAAAAACGATTTATATATATATATATATATATATATATATATATATATATATATTTGTTTGTTTGTTTTGTTTCGTTTTGTTTTGTTTTTTGTTTGCTTTTGCAATTATGCATGTTACTTGTGTGTTTCGTTTTCATTTTTGATCGTGTCAGATGTTCTTTTAGAGCCAAAAAAGAGGAGAACTCGCTGAACCGGACTGATCCTTTGCTCGTACAGAAAGGAACAGAAGGTGCTTCCAGCGTTCTGGGCAGAAAAAAGACACGTCATGCACGTATCACAGGATCCTGGCCCAATTTTCCCTTTGTTTCCATTGGTCCAATTGAGGGCAAAAACAGTTGATCGACAGCAAGCTTCTCGAATGAAAGCATTGTAAACAAACCGAAGCCCCGCCCCTGCGCTTTCGCCATTGGACGGAGACGCTTTGCTCTTCTCTGATTGGCCGAGGCGTCGCCGAAGGGGCGGTGCGGGGGTCCCGTGTTGTTGTTCCAGTAGAAGTGGATCAGTCGACATTTTAAAAATAGACCGAGATCTGGAGGAACTGGGCTTATTTATTTTGCGGAAAGAGGTTTTATTGTTTCGTTCTTTAACGAACAGGAGGGCAGACGTCTGATTAAGCTGCTTCTGGATTCTTCTGCTGAGGTACAAAAAGGTAAAGTTTGATTTTGTGGCTGTTTTTAAACCACCAGTCTGTGTAGAGGCGTAGACTATCAGTCAGCTGTAGGTTACTTAACGTTACCGTACAAACGGCTATAAAAGTGACCATATAAATACGTTTTATAGCAACATAACGGCAGATTCTTCGCTGTTTGTTTTTATTTTGCTTTGCTTAACTGACCACGTTACGAAAGAGCGGGTCAGGCTTCAGCCAGGCGACAGATCAGCTGGTCAGAGTTGCTAGCTGGTTAGCTAACAGTTAGCTAGTCTATCGCCTATTAATGTGGACATTAGGATGTTAATAAGAAAGGCTGTGAGTTAAAACACTCATTTCCACATGGTGTATTGGACATTCCTGTTTTTTTTATGTTTTATGTCATCTTTTTGGCTGAAAAACATCTTGAAAGTGTGCAAACAACGTTTCCTCCAGGGGTGTAACTAGAGATTTATGGATGGGCGGGGGGCTACCTTAAGGCTTAACTAGGGGCCTCTGGGGGGAAATGTCTGTTCGTCACGAGGTTTTTATAATAGAAATAGGCATAAAGTTGATCAAACATGACTTCTTGGTGAAGTAGGGGCACAGTAGATGTATCTCTTCATAGTCTGTGTTAGGCACAGATCTACCCTGCTGAAAAAGACCATTAGAACTATTATAATTCAAACCTGGTGGTTTTGCTTTCTAATGGGAATTGGCTTAGTGGGTACCATTAGAGACTACTAGTTTCCTGTAGGACACCTTTAGATCCTAGACGTCCAGAACGCATGTTAAACTGTCACGAGTCCTTTACACTGTGATGTCGACCCATCAGGTAAACCTGAAATACTATTAGTGACTATTGGAGACCACCAGGAACCAGCGGGTTCTTTTTCAGCAGGGATAAAATGCCTTAAATGCTATCCATCCACCTACAACAGACGCAGAACAAGCAGAGGTGCTGAAGTCGAGCAGTGTGATCTTCTCTTGCTTAGATATGCTGCAGGTCATATATGTGTTATTAAAACACACAGACTATAGGTTAGTACCTGATCAGATCTGCTCCTTCAGCTCCTTTCTCTCCCGCTCCTCATTATTTGTCTTAAACTCAGAAACACAAGAACGCAGAGCTTCATTTTTTACTGCAACTGGCAAAAATCTTTTCACCTGACCGGCCTTCACTTCAGCTCCGTCCATCTACAAAGAAAATTGCACTGTGATCAATGCTGTGTGACCTTTTACTGACATTAACTCACTGTGAACAGCAGTCTATGGCTACTGCTGAGGTGATTGTTTCAGATATTAAAGAGAAATATGGAAATAAGAACTGCCAGTAACACTGTTTCTGTCTCTTTTGCTCGTTCACCCTCTCAGTATCTGTGAAGTTTCTTAAAATAATTAAAATATTTGGCTTGTCGCCTAGCTAACATTAGTGCTATATCACCTATCACCTTTTGTTTATCTCACGTAACTAAAGTAGTTTGCGTTTGCTACAAGCAGCTGGAAAAAACTTTATTATATATGCCAATTTATTTACCATAATGTGTCACAAATTCGAGTATCTTCCCTCTGGAACTACTTATACTAAGGCTTAATGTTTATTCTAGTGAGATTTAGCTAAAATCCTGTCACAAGTTTAGCCACTGCTGACATTCACAGGGTGAGTAAATGAGACCCGCCCCCAGGTCTGTTATGATTGGCTTGCAACTCATGAGGTCTGATCTGATTGGTCGAGCCCCTTTTCCACATTGCTAAACAGCAGGACTGCCGTCTCCTCCTATGTTATGTTGGTAAATCTGATGGCAGTGGTGGATCAGAGCAGCAGCAACTCCTCCTCAAGTTCTTAGTGCCCTCCCATCACAGCATGCTGTGAATTTGGAGACATGGTGGCGCAGTTGAATGAGAAGAACTATTGACTATTTAAGCAAATAATGTACATTTATCTGGGGAGCTTAATAGTTTAAACTGTTGCTTTAAAGTCAACAGTGGATTCACATGTAAGCCTTAAAGTGGAATTCCACCAATTTTTCAAAATTTCTGTGTAATTCGGTCCTTGAGATTGTCGAAGTCATTCAGAGCGGTTTGATCTGAAGTGGTTCATTTGCAGAGAAACTTACCAACAATATTTCTTTACAGTGGTGCTGATAGGAACCAGGGGTCGCCATGTCTACAACACAAATGTATCTATTTTGTTTACTATCCAAAACCACCTACACATTCACTGTTTTTTATATATAATGTTGGTGATTGTAAAATAATCATAAACAAGTTATTCAAGTGAATTCATAACCATTTCATGTACTAACGTTCTGTAAAGGGAGCTTTTAGAGGTGGATATCTGGTTCCTATCACCACCACTGTGAACAGTTCTGACTGTTAAGTTTCTCTTAACAGAGCATTTCACACCAAACCGCTCTGAATGACTCTCTTCACATCTCAACCATTTAATTATGTAGAATTTTTGAAAATCGGTGGAGTTCCCCTTTAACACTGTGAAGTAATACTAGAGAGCTGGGTGAAAATGGGTTTTTCTCGTAAAAGAGTAGTTGATTATAACGCTGTGTATGAATGTGAAAGAAGATTTTGTCTGTTTTTGTTTTAATAAACTGATGAAAGCTGAGGATTATAAACCGAGTCTGAAGGCTGATAGTAATATGACTGGACATTGTTTGTTTTTGCTCCTCAGATGAGTAGCCAGTACCAGCGCAGTGTCCCGTTTGAGGTCCGGAGATTGGAAGGGGAAAGAGTTCGAGCCAAACATCCGGACAAAATTCCAGTAAGTCATAGAGCTGCCAGAGTTTTAAAGGAACACGCCAGCGTTTTTCAGTCTGATCTGTATCTGCTACACCTGTAGCGCACAGTCGATTATTACAGTCATTTTAATGCTTTCCTGTGTAAAAAGACGCTTATAATAGAAGCCAATGGACGGCTGAGTTTTGACAGTAGATGTTTATTCTCTGCCCATCGGCTTCTCTTAGTGTCATGTTGATGCTGTTTCCATTGACAATGGCTCCAAATATGTCTTGTTTATTAGATCATTGTAGAGAGAGCCGCTCGATCTCGCGCTCCTGAGCTCGACAAGAAGAAATACCTCGTTCCCTCAGACCTGACAGGTGAGTCTGCGCTTGTTACATGCATCTCCTTCTCTTCTCTGCTGTGCTGAGACGTAACAAACACTACTACAGACTTAAAATGATAGTTTGGCCAAAATTCAGATTCAAAACACACATTTTACCTTCACTAAAATGTCGTTCACACACGTTAGGTGTCTGAAATTTGCTTCTTTAGTGTTGCATTGGTGCCATAAGGCTAATGTAGCTAAGTAATAGTAGCCAGTTAGCATTCATTAGCATCATGCTAGCTGCATGACTAAACCATCACATGTCTGGAGTTAGGCAATCTCTAACAAACTTGCTTATGTGGTTTCTGACACCGCATGACACACTGTTATCTGTAACAGAGGAAGTACATCACATAGCTGAAAACTGTAATAGCTGCCATCATGAAGAATTTTTCCTGTCTATTTTTATAGATATTGGCATAAATAGTATGTCATGCAGTGTTAATATCGCTGTTGTCGGAAGAAAACCTCCTATTTCCAAGATGGTATATTTTCAGGAGAAGGAAAAAACACAGTTTACTTTTAATGTAAGTCAATGGAACCAGACTTTTTTCCAAGCCATTTTGAGCCGTTTCTTTTGGTCCATTCATCATGAAATTTACACACGATGTAAAGAGCAACAGGTACTTTTAAACTATGTCAAAAAAACTGAAAAACATAAAAAATGGAGATACGAGGTTTTCTTCCGACAGCAGCGATATGTTTGAGGCAATTGCATGGTGATTAAGGTATGCGGTTAGCACCATGCTAACTGGTGGGCTATAAGCTTCCATTACTTGTTAGCTACATTAGCCTCATAGCTCCAGTGCAAAAAACAAACAAACTTCAGACACCAAACATGTCTTGACTGATTTGGGGTAAGACACTTTTACAGTTCCTGAAATCTTAGTAAAAAGTAGGTATTCTCCATTTTTCCACCAGTCACAGCCTCAGCTGTGTCCTCATCTTCTGACATTTAGGTTTCTGTTCCGTCTCTTTCTCTTCATGATAAATAACGGCCTTTATGAAGAGTTCTCTGAATAAAAACTCACTGTAAGTGTCTCTCTCTCTCTATCCCTCTCTCTCTCAGTTGGCCAGCTGTGTTTCCTCATCAGGCAGCGAGTGTCCATGAGGCCAGAAGAAGCGCTCTTCTTTTTCGTCAAAAATTCCCTCCCTCCCTCCAGCTCCCCTCTTTCCATCGTATATGAGGTAATCCATAAAAAAACGCACTCAAACGTACTTGTACATGAGATATTTACATGAGAATTTAAAGTACATTTGACCATTATGATCTCAATCCCCATTGAAGTTATAAGAAAAATTGAGTTTCCATTGATCAGGGTTATCTGAAGGTTGTCACCGAGGTTCTGCAGGGCTGATCACACCACAGAAAAAAAAACAGTGTGCACATGCAGTACCATTAATAAGTTTCCAGTCTGGTCGCAGGTGTTAGGTATGCAGATTCATACTGGATGAAATCACATATCTTATCAGTAATCACTAACAGAACCTAACCTCATAAAACTAATCCAGCTCCAGTAGGCTTAACTGCGCAAACCCTAGGCTTATTCTTCAGCGCTTATTCTTCAAAGCTTATTATCTAAAAAGTACTATAAATTATTCAGTGTCTACTAATAATTATGAATTATTCAGTATCTACGATTAACTATTCAGTAACTACTATGAATTATTTAGTATCTACGATTAATTATTCAGTAACTACTATGAATTCAGTAACTACAATGAATTATTCAGTATCTACTGTCAATTATTCAGTATCTACCATGAATTCAGTAACTACAGTGAATTATTCAGTATCTACTATTAATTATTTAGAAACTACTATTAAATATTCAGTATCCAGTATTAATTATTCAGTAAATGCTATGAATTATTTAGTAAATACAATTAATTATTCATTATCTACTAGTAATTATTCAGTAAACACAATGAATTATTCAGTGTCCACTATTAATTGTTCAGTAAATGCTATGAATTATTTAGTAAATACTATGAATTATTCAGTATGTACTATTAATTATTCAGTAAACACTGAATTATTCAGTATATACTATTAATTACTCGGTATCTACTGTTAATTATTCAGACACTACTATGAATTATTCAGTGTCTACTATTAATTATTCAGTAAATGCTATGAATTATTTAGTAAATAGTATGAATTATTCAGTATGTACTATTAATTATTCAGTAAACACTGAATTATTCAGTATATACTATTAATTACTCGGTACTATTAATTAGGGCTTCAATAAATGACTAATTTGATAGTCAAATAATCTATTGATTATTGAAACGAATAATTCAATCAATTACCAAATAATTCTCATGTAGCTATCAGCTGTTAAATTTAGTTTGAGGTTGTTTTTAGGAATTTGCTAACAACCAAGACTGTAAAGATGAATAACTCATTCAGAAATTCACTGTTTTAATGAACTTCCCTGCTAATACAAAATATAAATAAAACTCTGATACCTTCACCAACTAATTGACTATTAAATTAGTTGCCAGCTAATTTAGTCGTCGATTTTAGTCGACTAAGTTGAATAATCGTTGCACCCCTACTATTAATTCAATACTATAAATTACTCAGTTACAACTGTCAATTATTCAGCAATTTATCAGTATATCTCCATCTATTCAGGCTACAGCAGTTTAGCTCTGCCCATAGTTAGATAGTTTCTGAATCAGTCGCAAGACAGAGCAGCCAATCAGGACAGCGATAATTTACATATATCAGTCTTAAAGGCACAGGTTTTTTGCACATAAAGCCACACAAATGTCATAAGTAGCTCAATTTTAGATGGTAAAATATTTTTTTATCTGTTTTTTTTTGTTGCTTAATTATTTTCTGACCGGGTTCAAATGGCCATGTTTCCGCGCAGGAACACCACGACGAGGACCTGTTCCTGTATATGACCTACAGTAATGAGAGCGTGTACGGAGCCTGAGAGAAGACAAAAAGGAGCCGCAGTGGGAGCAAGAGGGAGAGGACGGGGCCTGGAGCATGAGAAAGAGGGAGGGATAGAGGGAGGGAGGCGGTGGAGAAAGAAAACGAGGGGTTTTGAAGTGTTAACTGTGTTACCACTATTATACCGTGTTGAGACAGGCTGAGCTTTGAGGGGCATTGTACAGCGCTGTGGTTTGTTTGTGTATTTGGGGGCAGCCCTGGGGTTCGACTATACTCAACTATGACAGCAAAGCATTACAGCATTCTGGCTTAGATGTTAGAGATGGAGTGAGGGACGGTGACGTAAAGGAGTACTTCTGTGTTTTTCAGCCTGATCTCTGACTGCTGCATATGAATCATACTGCCGATTACCACAGGCAGTTATTTAAGTCCGTTTCACTGTTCTTAGAAAAGAGACTTCAGAATTAGTGTATAATAGAAGCCAGTGGGCAGTTGCTCAATTCTGTCGGTAAACACACTTGCGCAACTCCATTTTTCGGACACTTCAGAATTCTTCAGAATTAATTTGTCTGAAATGTGTGTGTAATTCACTTTTAGAGGTTGGACTAGTTTTCCAGAGGGTGACATTTGTGGCAGTTTATTCAGATCAGTCTGAAAAATACTCAGGTATTCCTGTCAAAGACAGAAAGAAGAGAGGGGGACCGTGTAAAGACAGTGGTGCCGCACAAAAGTGTTCATACCTTCATGACTCTCTCCTAGGAGTGACTCATCTGTATTTAATGCAAATAGTATTTTTGTAAAGTTATATAATACATTTTGTTCAAATAATGAATAAAAAAATAATACTGAATATTCTGCATGTCTGAGATTTTTGTAGTTTGTAGTCTGTTGATGGATTGCAGCACAAAACATACCAGCATTTACCTCAGAACTACTCAAAAGAAGAAGAATATTTGTAGCTTTAAAGTTTTAATTGAGGTATAATTAAAGTATTTTTTATTCCCTGACAACATGCATTATAGAGACACTTTAAAGAGAGATAGTGAAAATATATTAATTTAATGTAGAATTGGCAATCGGCTCTATTTTGATACATAATTTAAAAGCCAAGAGTAAGTAGTGCTACTGAACATAAGTTGTTTGGTTGTAAACAATTTTTTTTTGGTTACATTTTACCTTGTTTTGAACTCCATCCACACTACATTTCTACACAACCTTTATGATGACATGATTATTTTTTAACAAGGTATGGCCATAAATTGATATACTGAGGCCATAAATTCATATATTGAGGCCACAAGTTATTATACTAAAGCCACAACATACATTTCTCATGGCTACAAATGTATATATTGATTCTTTGAGGCCACAATTTAAATTCCTCATGGCCACAAAATCATGTGTTAACATTTTGAGGCCACAAATTAAGTTCCTCATGGCCACAAATTCATATATTAATATTTTGAGGCCATAAATTATTATACTGAGGCCACAAATTAAGTTTCCCATGGCCACAAACTTATATATTCATATTTTGAGTCCACAAATGATTATACTGAGGTCACAAATTAAGTTTCTCATGACCACAAACTCATATATTCATATTTTGAAGCCACAAATGATTATACTGAGGTCACAAATTAAGTTTCTCATGACCACAAACTCATATATTAATATTTTGAGGCCACAGATTATTATACTGAGGCCACAAATTAAGTTTCTCATGGCCACAAATTCATATATTTATATTTTGAGGCCACAAATGATTATACTGAGGTCACAAATTAAGTTTCTCATGACCACAAACTCATATATTAATATTTTGAGTCCACAAATGATTATACTGAGGTCACAAATTAAGTTTCTCATGACCACAAACTCATATATTCATATTTTGAAGCCACAAATGATTATACTGAGGTCACAAATTAAGTTTCTCATGACCACAAACTCATATATTCATATTTTGAAGCCACAAATGATTATACTGAGGTCACAAATTAAGTTTCCCATGGCCACAAACTCATATATTCATATTTTGAGGCCACAGATTATTATACTGAGGCCACAAATTAAGATTCTCATGGCCACAAATTCATATATTAATATACTGAGGCCATGAATGGACAGGACTCCCAGCCTTAGGTATGCTGCAAATGCAAATCAGTGGTAACCTCCAAAAACAGGAAACTGAGGTTGCCACTAAAGTACATGGTTTGTAGATGCTCAGTCTGTCTGACTAACAGTCAACGTTTTTAAATGCGACTGAACCCTGTTGAAGGACAACACAGACCAGTATGAATTCTATGCTGGTCTAAGATGGTTTATGCAGGTCTGGTGCTGCTAATGACCCTCTATGTGATCAGTTATTAATCTCAGTGTTACTGAGCTCTGCTAAAGCCTGAGTAGACTGATCAATCAATGTGATCAGTTATTAATCTCAGTGTTACTGAGCTCTGCTAAAGCCTGAGTAGACTGATAAATCAATGTGATCAGTTATTGATCTCAGTGTTACTGAGCTCTGCTAAAGCCTGAGTAGACTGATAAATCAATGTGATCAGTTATTGATCTCAGTGTTACTGAGCTCTGCTAAAGCCTGAGTAGACTGATCAATCAATGTGATCAGTTATTAATCTCAGAGTTACTGAGCTCTGCTAAAGCCTGAGTAGACTGATAAATCAATGTGATCAGTTATTAATCTCAGTGTTACTGAGCATACCAGCATCCAAAACACAACATATGCTGGTTTTGCTATTGATCTATGGTGGTCTATGCTGTTTTTCTAGCAGGGAGCTTGAAGTCGAGTGTGACCCTAACTACTCCTAAACCTAACCCAAACCAACTCTGCTGATAATCAATTAAGCATCACCAGAATGTTTGTGAATGATGTAAGTGTCTGTAGATCATTTATAGGGGATCATCAACATAAAGTGTGACCAAAGTCTAGGACATCTTAAAGACCGATAAGATTAAGAATGAAGAAGAACAAAGACATGCTCATGAGCCAATGCCTAGAACCTCATCTGTAAAACACAAAACTAACCTAACCAGACAAAGACAAAAAAGTCCCCTTAAAAAGTCCTCTTGTTCACTTCAACAGGTAAGAAACCCACAGCTGGATATCAGATCAAGTTCAGGCCTCAACGGCCATTAATAAAGTGCGATTGTATCACAGGGAAAACTCCCTTCCCTGTGATAAGCGCACAGCTTCAAGTGGCTTATTGCCTTTATAAAACTGTGGCTAACAGAAAATATGATAAAATACACATTTTTCCAGAATATATTTTATTTTTTTGCTAATAACCATCAACATAAACATGTAATCTGCCAAGAAATGTAGATCCTTTACAGTGTGGTATTGTTGCCAAGCAACCACAGCCTGCTGAATGACGAGAAGAATGTTTGGTCACCCATCTCTGTGCACTGCGGTCATTTCATGAACCTTTTAACTATTTATCATATAATAATGAACCTCTGATAACACAGCACTGTTTAAGACACAAATCTTCGCATTATAAGTACTTTTTGGTCACCAAACTACTACCGCAAGACTTACTTAGCACCAAGCTAATGCCCCTCTTCTTGTGCTGGGGCTGAATCTCAAACGGCTCCCTGCTCCCTACATAGTGCACTTATGTAGGCATTTAAATGCAGCCCAACAGTGCACAATATAGCTAAAAAATGAGTCATTAAAATAGTCATTTGGGATTCAGCCACATCCACACTAGAATAGTGCACCACTTGGCTTTAAAAGCATTGAATTTCAAAACCTCCATAGCTAGATAGAGCACTATTTAGGGAGAACCGAACCGTTTGGGATTCAGCCTGGGTTTGACGCTACTGCTGACTGAAACATGAACATTTGAAGTGTGTAAGACATTTAAGTGACATTTTTTAGACTTTTATATCGCAGTTTTACAGTGAATCATGTCATAAGTGCTTTAATTCAAGCTTGTGATATTAATGTTGGAGCTGTTTGGGCTGTTAGTTATCTTTTAGCACATTAGCTAGCTGACCAGCCTAGTTCTAGTTAATAAAATAAATGTAATGTCCACGTAAACTCAAATATTAATCCATTAACAGAACAAAGATTCTTTCGTGATGTAGCGCAGTGATACAGAGGCAGTCATACGTGGGTGTATGTGGTGTTTTACAACAGCTTTGAACGCGGCTTAGCAAAACAGACCGGAGCTATCCGTTTATAATACTTTTTTACACTACTTTGTCGATTTTTATAGACAAAAGTTTGTCGTACAGTGTCAGAAAGCACATAAGCACGTCTGTTTGAGATTTCTAAACACGCCGACACAGTTTGAGGCATGTTTGTGATGATTTAGGCAGTTAGCGTTATGCTAATTAAGAAACTTGTTAGCCACATTAGCCTCGTAGCTCCAGTGCAAAAATAAAGGCGAAAAATAGAGGCGAAATTCAAAACTTCAGACACAAAACTTGTGTCTTGTCTGATCAGGTACTTTTGCGGAAAGAGGAAAATGATTTCTGTACCACATTAATATCAATTATATCCTAGTGCAAAGTCCACAGAGACACTGGGCAGTGAACAGTGTAACCTGCCAAAGTCAGTCAAGTGATTCTTTACCTCTTTCCCTTTTACATCTTTTTACATTTTTACATTTTTACATTTGTGCAAATCTTCTTAAACTCTCCTTTAAAGGCTCTTCATAGTATACGATCCTCATATGTTTCATATCAAAATGCTCCGTTATCTTCATCACTACTTTCCAAAACTTTAAAAAATTAATCTAATGATAAATCGAAATCTTTCAAGCTCAAATAAAAAAGATTAAGGTATTAAAGTAGTAGTAAAGTACATTTTCCAAGCATATATTTAGGGGTTAGGGTTTGGGACAGACCGCCTCGCGATAGAAAGTGCCCTATAAATGATGATTTTGTATATATATTTAGTTTATTACTGTCTCTGTTAAAGCCTTGGGTTTCAACAGATCATAACATAATCTTGTATTGTTTTTTTTTACTGTTGGACTGCAGTTTGAAGTAAAATGGCCCATATATAACCTTAGAAGTTCCC